GCATCTCACTGGGTCTTAAGGGTCGTGTGTACCAGGCTACAGTAAGGGCTGTGTTGTTGTATGGGTGCGAGACGTGGCCTCTGCGGACAGATGATGTGATGATGATGATGCCTCAGAAGCGTGGCTGGTTTTGGATGGCGTCAGCGTATCAGCAACGAGGCGATTAGAAAACGGGTATTTGGTTGTTCTGCAGGCACCTCAATCCGGGAAAACATCCAGCGTCATCGACTGCGGTGGCTCGGCCATGTGCTACGCATGCCGAAGCACCGTCTACCAGGACGAGTGTTGTTCTCCGTGCCTCCTTCAGGATGGCGCAAACCGCGAGGTGGACAGTACATGACTTGGCAGAAAGGCGTCAAAGAGATCACGAAGTGTTTGGGTGTTGTTGGTGTTATGCGACTTCCAGGATGGGGTCCCCGTGACCCCGTCTGTGCTTGGCTGGAGACGTTGCAAGAAATGGCGGCTAATCGATGTCAGTGGCGTTCGTGCTGTCAGTTTCTTTCCAGATTGTCTGACTGAGCGGTTGGGGGTGTAGGCACCTCAGTATGCTTGATATAGGCCAGCACTAGGTCCCTCCCTCACCAGTGAAGCATCAGTGGCAACACTGATGTTGCTGTCCTTGATGATGATGATGATCTCCCGGTTTCACACACAGGAGTTTGTTCGAGGGTCCTCATCATGGATCTTTGCTTCAAGAGGTTTATCCGTAAGAAAGCGAGTGGGCGTACGATTAGGTTCAGGGACCAGGGTCCCAGTCTCTGACTTAGATGTCTGAACCATGAGATGGCGACCGGTACTGTTTGCTTTCAAGACTCTCCTAGAAACCAATGATTCAAATCTCAATCAATTGGCTGTGGAGGGCCGGCCTAACCAGGTGTATAGAGTGAAGAATATCCCCCCCCGCACTACTTCCCCTGCTGTGTACGGCAGAATCGGTGGTTAAGGCGCCAGCTTACGGACCGGAAAGTCCGTGGTACAAACAACACCTCAGAATAGTGACAGCTCCTGACTGGGCAATACGCCATCTCTCGTACCTCCTTCCGTTTGCAGGGCAGCTAGGTACCAAAGGGGCGCTGCACCTGAACGACTTTCATGGAGCGTATCAGCTAATTCTCCGACAGAGAATTCTAGGGGTGCGTCTCACGGGAGAATTTCGAGGGGTTTGGAGAAACAAGACAAGGTCACCAACCCACGACTATATCAAAGCATATGGAACAGTTTCGAAAAATAACTAATGCCTGCGGGAAGATACTGAGACGGGCTGAATACCATTACCGAAAACAATTAAAACATTCCAAAGGGCCTTCCAAAAACAAACCTACAAAAATACAAGGAATGTACCACCATGAGGGAACCATTCAAAACTGCGAGTTTGTCTACTGAAAGGTCGTATTCATAGGTTTAAAGAATCGCGAATAGCATATATCCGGACGAAGGATGCACAGGGGCCTGGCAATTTGACAAGTGCAACCAAAGGATCCAATGACTGCGAGGATTGACACCTGAAAATCGTCCAAAATTAGCTTCACTTTCTGATGAAACGAGTCGGGCAGATGCGCTTTAAGAGCATTGCATGGGGAGAATCGATGGTCTGAAAACGAGCATGTTGAGGCCTCGTAAACATTTAACCATCGAAAGGCTTTGGGTGAGTCGTTCGGAACCTCGCCGTCATAATTCGAGACAGTACGAGTGAGATATCACTTGTCATTGAACAGGAGGTCAAGAAACTTGTTTGCGAACCGGTGTATGCGCAGACTTGATTCTGAGATTTTATATACGTAAATAGCTCACTCATACACAATATCCGTGCTTCCAAAGTGGCCACTGATCAAGCTCAACTCTGCTCAACCGGGTCAGACCTCCTCATGCACACGAGGAGACGTGTTTACCGGGAAAGCGAGGCTCAGGCTATAACTACTAGTACTGCACTAAATGATAATAACAAAATGGATAAGGATGCTAATCGAATTGGCGTTCGTATAAAACACGTGGTCTATTGAGGCGAATAGTTGTCGGTCTTGGGATCAGGGTGCAGAAGACCAGGGAGCAGATGACGGAAAACCGGTTTTAAACCGGTTTCACGTGGAGAGACGTCCAAGGTCAAGGGCAAACTCACACAGGGCCATGGGAAGTACATTCAGTTCAAAGTGTTGTAAGCATGTAGTGGTGAAAGTGGGGGCAGGTAGGAAGTTGTAGAGGTGAGCAAAGGGAATACCCTGCGCCAGATGAAAGCGATTGGCAGATGTTCCCAACAGCATTTATCACATTGCTCAT